TAGGGTGAGTTATCCAGCATAACAGAGATAATGGTAATAATTAACACCTGAATTACATTGACATCCCAACTCTGCTCACTTTCCATTGGCTCACCATCTGTCCCTAAGTAGTCAGAGAAAAAAGGGATGCGTTCTATGTCTAACCAATTTAACCTCTTATTCCCACTTCCCATTTTTCAATTTTACTGATATGTCGCCAAGGATAACACGGCAGAGATGTCCTTGACCATTAAACTAAGCAAGTTAGAGAGTCTTTCTGATTTCTACAAGTAGTATATTAATGTGATCTAGAGAAACTTGAGCCTGGGTGAAGCCATCAGACTCACCCAGGCCCAGGAAAAGGCAGAATCATCGACAGTTAGATTTTTGGAAGCTTTGAGGGCTGTTCAAATGATTAAGTCAAAACAGTTCTTCATAAATGCCAACATTTTGTGGGGACGTCAAACAATAATTACTTTGGGAAATAGGTAAAACATGATAAAATTGTAAAGTAGTGAATAGTTCTCTGATTACGTGAACTCAAATATTTATTACTGACCAGTAGAAATAATTGGCATTTGTCCTAATTTCATAGAATTCCCATGAGTGACAAATAGACTTGCTAGAATAAGAGGACTAGATTCTTACCTTGACTCTAAGAAAGGGTGTCTAGGTAAGGCAGTAATATTTTGGAAAAGTCCTAAATATCAGATTCAAGGAGCTTAGCAAGAGCAGGTGCCAAATTGAAGGTCAGCAGTTCTGTTGTAGTCATGAGTTTGGGAGGAATAGCATGAACTGATATTTTGAGTTCCCAGATTTTTTTTGACAGCCTACTCAACAGAGAGACAGTTTCCAACGGCTATTAGCTGCATGACTCAAGATATTCATTTGCTCAGCTACATGGTTCAGGAGAGAGGAGATGGCAGGAGGCACAGGGCTGATTACTGAGGGTCCCTCCAATGCCTCTCAAATGGAGTCAATTCTGCTTGCTCATAAACCTACTGAAAGAGGAGTTTGTAGTACAGGAAACACATGCCTCAGTTGACTCAGATATCTGGTAGCATAATATATATTATCATAAAAGCAGGCTGGGAAAAATAATGCCGAAGTTAATAACTTTCAAAAGATAGAGAAAAATCATGTTCTTCCAATAAAACTGAATCATATGATCCAACCAGAATATATTTACTCTGTCGAACTGGGCTTATATATGGGTAACTTATGAAGAAACTGCTTATAAACTTCACCTTTGGTAAACTGAACTAGAATAAATTTCAATTGTCTATCACTTTGCTGCCACTGTAAGGACCAGATTCCCCTACCCACACTTCAGGGTCAGTAAAACACAAATAAAAAGAGAGCTAACATTAGCTCTCTTAAAAAATATTTTAGCTTCAAGGGTACATATGCAGGTTTGTTATGTAGGTAAATTTTACTGATTATTTTGTCACCTAGATACTAAGCCTAGTACCCAATAGCTTTCTAAGGCATGGAGTTTTCTAACACTGGAGTTTTCTACAAACCAAGGGCCAGGACTGCTTTCACATTAGGGAGGTCTGGAGTTCCACAAAGGAGAGGATGGCAGGTAACAAATATTGGAAATAAGATGAGCTGACGTAGATCATGGGAACTGAACAAAAAAAAATGGAAAAAGTGACAGTCACGTTCCATCATTTTGAAAAGAACAGCTATGACCTCTGACAGAGTCCAATATGCTTTTCTGAGAGTTTGAACAATTCCTAGGTGAGCTGTCACTTCCTGGTTGCCGGTCTGAGGAGGTACTGACAATACCATTGTGGTGTTCTCAGTTAAAGGAATACAAACAAGCAGCCAATGCTCCTAGCACAAGATTCTTAAAGATAATTTGTCATAACTGTTCTCCCTCCCAGGACAGCAATAGACATTAGTTTAAGAATAGCATGTAGTATTCCTTACTACAATCAAATGCATTTATTTATAGATTCTTCTGCCTGAGTAAAGTAGAGATTAGGGCAGTTTTCTGTCTATTTCTCTTACATAGTTGAATTTCTGTGAAGGTCATGCAGACCTTGTTCATGTCTAGCAACTTGGTACGTGTCTGGATGAGCACATGTGTGGGGTTTGAGAAGGAGAAGGTAGGATTAGGTTTCATAACATCTATTAATTGTGAGAACCCCTTCAAAAGGGAGGAGATTCGAGTCTACACGTAAGTGTGGTCCAAGCATTTTGTGTCACTGGAAAATTGCTTCAACTCATTCCTATGACACAGTAACATCCAGAAATAGTAGCTGCCTTGGTAGTTAATGAAATAATCTCCATTTTATATAAAGTGATTGAGTTACCACAGAAACTTAGCAACATTACGCATAAAACCAAGGATAAAATAAATATCATCTAAGGAAATTGATGCACAGAAAACAGTTGTATGTTCTTTGCATATTCAAGTACCATTAATGAATCAATTAGGACATATTTTAATAAAATACTTAATATATATTTTTAAATACACATACATTTGTTTAACAAATAGATTCTGAATAGCAGAAGAATACTCTGCAAATTCCATAAGATGAAGTTATAAAACTACTAATGAAATTTGAATGTATGCTTAGCTTGTATTTAATAAATATTACTAACTTGATCAGTTTTTTTCATGGCCTCTGAATTAATCAGAATATCCCACTTAGTACTTTCTCTCATCTTGTTATATGTTGAGTGACTATAAAGGAAGCCTTTGTGACTGCTTTTTAGTACACTGGTAATGCTCACCTGTTGCTCTCAAATTCCACTCCTAACTTCCATCCCCACTTATATGGTTTGGCTGTGTCTCCACCTAAATCTCATCTTGAATTAAAACTCCCATAATTCCCACATGTTGTGGGAGGGATCTGGTGGGAGGTAACTGAATCATGGGGGTGGGTCTTTCCCCTGCTGTTCTCATGACAGTGAATAAGTCCCATAAGGTCTGTTGGTGTTATAAAAGTCAGTTTTCCTATACAAGCTCTCCTTGCCTACCGCCATGTAAGACATGACTTTGCTTCTCCTTCACCCTCCATCATGACTGTGAGGCTTCCCCAGCCATGTGGAACTGTGAGTCCATTAAACCTCTTTTTCTTTATAAGTTACCAAGTCTCAGGTATGTTTTATTAGCAGCATGAGAGCAAACTAATATACTCACCCACCCCACTATGACACTTAGCTGTACTGTGCTAGTACTTAGTTAATTATCAGAATAGCTATTTTCAGCAGACATTTTATTATGGCCACCACCACTCATTCCAAATCTTTTAATGTTAATCTTTTCAGTAGCTTATGAGGTTCAGAGCATTGCTTTTAATGAATTCTATACATAATCATGAATGAACCTTCAATGCAAAGGTAGAAGATCTAAACATAAAGGAATGAGATGTGGAAGGAGAAGGGGAGTTCTCAGCAGATTGAGAGCAGAGGGAAATTGCTCTGGACAGGATTACTTAGCAAGGGCTTATCCACCCTCCTTTCCAGAGGACATATGTAAAGGGGCAAGTCTCAGAGACTTGTTCATTTTCTGTTTTCTTGGGAAACTCTGAACTGAATATCACAGAAGTTTGTAATGGTCTTAAGATCCTGCAGACTTGATTTCTGAAAATTGCTAATCCATTTTCTTCTTCTAAGAAGGATGCCTGAGGAAGTTATTTTCACTCTTAAGTTTTTCTCAAAACAAGGAGAATTAGTTAGCTGTTAAAAACAAAATCATTAAGTGTTCCACTGTTGTCTATAGAGTACATAACCTAAGGATAGAACAAATCCTTGCCCTCAAGGATCTTACAATCTCTCTCGAAACACTGGATGTGTATTAGCATTTTTATAGTGCAATCATTCTGTGATGTTGTTAGAAACGCTTTATTTAAATGGGCACAACAGTTATATTTTATTCTAATGAAGACTCATTGGCACTATGGATTAGCATTTGCCAGTGGGAAAGTGGCTATTAACCTTGATATATGTGAATGCGCCCACATATAGGAGCCATGTCTCTAAACAGAGTACATTTTCTAAGGTAAAACATGAGGCTAGGGGAGTAGTGAGTGAGAAGAGACCATATACATGCTCTATTTAGTATAGTTGGTATATTTGAAACTAGAAGAGAATGGAGAGGTTGTTCCAGACTCCAGATATAGGTGAACCTAACAACTCTTGTTAAAATTCTGCTATCAGTATCAGAAAAAGTAAGGTAGTTTTTTGTTTTGTTTTACCTTTTATTTTAGGTTCAGTGGTACATATGCAGTTTGTTATATAGCTAAATTGTGTGGTGCAGGGGTTTGGTGTACAAATTATTTTGTCACCCAGGTAGTAAACACAGTATCCAAAAGGTAACCTACAAACACCTGGTCTTGTTTTTTAATTTTCAGCTTATCATTATTAAATCCTAGATAAGAAAATACTGAGAGTAAATTGAGGTTGAGTAAATCTTACCTTGACACATCCAGTTGTAAGGCATAAAGGTACTAACCCCTATGTTGTTTTTTGATACTACTATTACTAGGTACGAGTTACAGGATTGTTAAAATGCATTGGGCATTTCTATGAGACAGCCCATCTAATTCTCACAACTATAAAATAAGTATTAATATTCCCTATGATTCCAAAACTTACACCAGTGGATCCAGGATTCTTTCTTAGTTTTGTCAAACTCAATATTTTTACTCTTTTTACTTTAAGGTTAATATCAGTCTTAATATCACTAGACTATACCAACTCTTATATACACAAACATTCACATATATGTGTACATATTAAAACCTCACAAATATCAATACCAAATATGCTACAGCCTCCATAAAAACACTTATTACACATAAACATTTGAAAATCAAGATTATCTATACTGTACAGAAATATCAAATCAGAAAATAATAGACGATTCCTTTCTCAGATATGCTGACTCTAAGACTTCATGTCTCCACAATTTATCCTAGATTTAGAAACAGCAACAGCATGAGCACAAATCCACTTTGGAATACAATATTTCTACCCAAACCTTCCAATTCCCTTGGTACTACCTTCGGTTTCAGTGATGGAGTTCTTTTTGTTTGTTGTTTCTCTGCTTGTCTTCCTTATTTTTACTTGCTTTGATGTCTCTAATCCCACTGATCCGCACAGGTGACCAAACTTTCATCCGTAATCTGTAGCATTCAAATTAAAGGAACAGTTTATAGATTCTAGGATTTCCTGAGCACCTCAAGTAAATCCTTCCTAGGCCCCTCATGAATGGATAAAACCATGAGCAGCGGATGAAGCTAAATTGATCCCAATGAATGTACCACAAAGCATCAAATTGTATTCACTGCCAGCCAACAAACAAATAGAAATCTATTTCCCCCATTTTTAAAATAAATATATTTATTATGCTTTACTTTTAGCCCAGTGCCACTTGATCAAAACTGAGATTTTCCTAGCAGATATAAGATTCATAGAAGTAATGTGTCTTTCATTAGGTGATAAACAGCATTTACTATTGGACAGACTTCAGCTTTTTGTTGCTCTCTTCAACTGCAGACTTCTGAAATGCTACGCTGGTCTGTATTAAGAACAAATACTCTTTTTTCATAGAAAAATTCTATACCTCTTTAAAGAAAACATATAGAATGGAGATAACTGAATTTCTTTCCTAGTCACATTAAACAGAAAGGTTAAGCTCCTACTGACAGGAAAGATGTATTTGCAAGTGATTAGTTATATTTCTATCATAGTGCTTGTCTGTGTTCTTCCTTTGATGTTTAAGCAAAGCTCTTGAACACGCTGGGTTGTATGCTCTGATGTTGATTTATAGGTAGAACTGAATTCCAAACACTAAGCCAGTAGGTAGGCTTTAATAAAAGGCACAGACTTTCTCCCTGCTGGTTAGTGTGTGACTAAGCTATGTTGTTCTAGGGCCTCAATCTGTCAAGACAGACGTGCAGTGACGGAGTCCTTTGACCTCAAAGACCTGAGCTATTTGCAGAGGGTCACATTCTGCTGTTTAGGATTGGAGGTTTTAAACCCTTGGAAAAAAATAATAAACTATGTTAAAAAAACAAACAAACAAAACAAAACTGTTTTATGTTCAACAGTGATGTTGAAACCCTTTTTGTTAGAAGTTAAGGCATACCTAGGAGGGAGAAGATAAAGGTAATCAGGCAGTCAGTCATATGGCACATCAGATTCAGGCCAGGCAGTGTCAGTCCTAAAGCAAGAACATCAGAAGGAATGGTAGGCCATCTTCCACAGGCTGTTGTATGCCTAGCCAACTGACAACTCTCAGGGAGTTGGACGGTGGGGATCCAGGAAGCATCGTGAGCAGCTCAATAAAGCTATCTGGTTGGGCTACAAAAAGAGAAAAAATTAATGCAATAGAGATATTAGATTAAACAAAGAGAGGCATCCCCATCTGGCCAAGCTCAGGGATGTGAGAATTACTAAAGTCATAAAATGAGGGCATGTTTAACACCTCAGTCTGCTGGCTTCGTGGTCTCAACACATGAAAGGTACAGAACCACGCAACCACACTATCATCTGAAGAAAGAGAGATGCAGTTCACTATTCATTTTTGCCAGAAATGCTTTATTTCCACCTAGGTATTTTGCAAATTGAAATTTCTACTTTATATTCAGTTTATTTGGGGATTCTCTATCGGCAATCCCAGAAATACAATGAATGTAAGCTTTTCAAAGCCAGGGAATAGATTTTAAAAGCAAACAACAAACGAATAACACTAGCATGCATTTCTTTTGAAAAAGACATAAAATCTCTGTTGCATAAAATATCTTAAAAATAGAAAATCTGCAAAAAGCAATACCACTTGCCAAAGTTAACTACTTTTAAATTTCTTTCCAAATTTGTTTCCATCATTTTCAAAGAAATATATCAACATGTACATGTGTAGATATTTGTGCATTTGTGTATAAACTTGTGTTCACAAACACAGTATGTGTTCTGTTTTGTACTTTCATTTTTTCTACTTATATTTTAATTGTAATTAAAAATGCTTTTTAATTTTTTATTTCATATAAGGCATGTATAATTTCATTGTAGCAATGAAAGATAGTCAACACTTGAAAGTTAATATTGTCTCCAAATATTTATTATTGTAAACACATGATATCTTGAATATAGATTTAAATAAACATTTGCTTTCTCAATTAATGAATACATGAAAATAGGCATTCTTAGTACATACATTTCTCATTGCCCAACATATTTAAATATATTTAATATGTGTAAATATACTTAAATATACTTAATCTATTTCTCTCCAGGTGATGTAGCACTAGCAATAGAGAACTATGAATCTAGACCCAAAATTCAAATTTTTCTTTGTTCTTAATTGGCTCTAAGCCATTTATTCCAACTTGCATACTAACTCATAATTTTCTTATAGGTGAATCTTAAGAGCAAGAAGAACTTGTATATAACCTTATCTTTACTCAAATAGGGCATAAATACTGTAAAACTCTAAGGACCACCAAGTGCTCTAATAAAGACTTCGTAAAATTGACATTTGATACTCAGCCATGTTGAATCAACACATCTTTGTATAATTTACTTTTAATTTTTTTTAACTTTTATTTTAGGTCTGGGGGTACATGTGTGGGTTTGTTATATAGGTAACTTGCATGTCACAGGTGTTAGGAACATAGATCATCACCTAGATGGAAAGCATAGTAACCAACAGGTAGTTTTTAGGTCTTCACCCTCCTGCCTCCGTCCACCCTCCAATAGGCTCCGGTGTCTGTTGTTCTCTTCTGTATGTCCCTATGTAGTCAAGGTTTAGCTTCCACTTATAAGTGAGAACATGTGGTGTTTGGTTTTCTGTTCACTTAGGACAATGGCCTCCAGCTCCATCCATGTCCCTGCAAATGACATGATCTCATTCTTTTTTATGGCTGCATAGTATTCCATGGTGTATTAGTACCACATTTTCTTTATTCAGTCTACTGTTAATGGGCATTTAAGGTTGATTCCATGTCTTTTCTTTTTCTCTTTTTTTCTTTGAGATGGAGTCTTGCTCTGTCACCCAGGCTGGAGTGCAATGGCATGGTCTTGGCTCACTGCAACCTCCACCTCCTGGGTTCAAACAATTCACTGGCCTCAGCCTCCTGAGTAGCTGGGACTACAGGTGCCTGCCACCACATTCAGTTAATTTTTGTATTTTTGTTTTAGGAGAGATGGAGTTTCACTCTGTTGGCCAGGCTGGTCTCGAACTCCTGACCTCATGATCCACCCACCTTGGCCTCCCAAAGTGCTGGGATTACAGGCGTGAGCCACCACGCCTGGCCTCCATGTCTTTGCTATTGTGAATCTTGCTGCAATGTACACATGCATGTGGCTTTGTGGTAGAACAATTTATATTCCTGTGAGTATGTACCCAACAGTGGGATTGCTGGGTCAAATAGTAATTCTGCCTTGAGAAATCACCAAACTGCTCTCCACAGTGGCTGAACTAATTTTCCCACAAGTAGTGTGGAAGTGTTCCCTTTTCTCCACAATCTCACCAGCATCTGTTATTTTTGACTTTTTAATATAGCCATTTTGAATGGTGTGAGATGGTATCTTATTGTGGTTTTGATTTACATTTATCTAATGATTAGTAACGTTTAAGCATTTTTTTCTTGTGCTTGTTGACTGCATATATGTCTTCTTTTGGGAAATGTCTGTTCCTGTCCTTTGCCCAGTTTTTTATGCGGTTGTTTGTTTTTTGCTTGCTGATTTAAGTTCCTCGTAGATTCTGGATATTAGGTCTTCGTTAGATACATAGTTTGCAAATATTTGTCCCCATTCTGTGCATTGTCTGTTTACTCAGTTTATAGTTTCTTTTGCTGTGTAGATGCTCTTTAATTAGATCCAATTTATCAAATTTGTTTTTGTTACCATTGCTTTTGGTGTCTTCCTCATGAAATCTTTGCCAGAGCCTGTGTCCAGAGTGGTATTTCCCAGGTTATTGTCAAGGATTTCTGTAGGTTTAGGTTTCACATTTAATTCTTTAATCCATCTTGAGTTGATTTTTTGTTTATGGTGTAAGGATTTCTAACTAAATGCATACCTAAATATATTTTCTAATTGCATAATTATGAAATAAAGGCATTTATTGTTTATGTCTACTGTTTTACATATCAATATTTATGACCATTTAGCCAAAATTCCACTTGGTTATCTACACGTGTGTTTTAATTATTTATTAATTGATTTTTTCTCTTCTTAGTCATTATTTTTTATTTGTATCCTCTAATCTAGGGGTCAATAAATTATGGCTCACAGGCCAAATCAGACCTACATCCTACTGACTCTCAAGCAAGATACGTTTTCTACATTTTTGAAGTGTTGTAACTCCAAAAGCGAATATGAAACACACACCATATGTGGCCTACAGATTATAAAATCTTCACTATTTGGCCCTTTATGGAAAAATAGGACTGACTCTTCCTCTAATTCCACCAACAATCTAGGCCAACACTAGCTTTCCCAAAGTGATTTGTGGAAACATCAGTTGACTGGTATTAATGGTGTTGGCGGGAGAGGTACAGGTGTGGCATTCTGTGGTCAAATGAATGTAGGAAACCCTATGTTAAACAAAGTTAACCCATTTTGTTATTGTAGTATGTTTTAATATTTACTTTTAAAAGTAAGAAGAATATAAACCAAAAGTCTTTCTTTTTCAGGATTACTGCTATGAAAGCTTTGTTTGCTATGACTAGTGTTCTATGAGAATTTGCTTAGATACATTTCTTGACAATAAAGAGGAAATGATATTGAAGGTGAAAGTATGGTGTCATAAATTTAGTTTTAGTACAATGACAAATTCTCATTATATTCATCCTATTTTTTGGGATTCATTAGGTTAACATATTTTCATGGTAATAGTTATATCTACGCATGAAAATAAAACATATAATTCAGAATTTATTCATATTTTCTAGGGTTTTTTTAACTTAAATTTTCTAATATTCATGCTCAAAATTTGAGATGAGGGTGGGATGACAGAACAGAAATATGTTGACTAATGAAAATAATTGTTTTTTTTTTATATAAATCAACTTTTACATACTGTTAAGAGGTAATATTTTAATCTTTCTAGTTCCAGCCTCTATTGGTACCTCTGGGAGAGGGAAGGACTACATTATGCAGCATAGAAAATTATGCCGTGACTAAAAGAAGGTAGCTGTTGAAGTGTTAGCTTTTTCAGTTCTCAGCTGTCTGCTGTATCTTGAATTAATGTGTTCTATTTATCAGCTTCATTTATAAATTATTGACTTTCAAACCCTGCCTACTACTGAACTCTCTAAGTAGAGATCTGTTCCAATTGCCACATATTACATTTATTTATCTATATATACATATTAATGTGTGCAAATTCATATTTTATTCCATACTTGATATAAACATCAGAATGCTTTAGGTAAACTATAAAAACTTGTAGGTAAAATGCATGCAAAACCAACGTGAAAAAGTTCTTTAATAATTTCTCCTACATATTTTAAAAGTAGACTTTGTGATCATTAACTCCTGAATTGTTAGTATTTAACATCGCTTACCTCAAGGGGTTGGACTAGGAGATGTCCAGAATCTGTGTTAGAACCATGATTCCAGAATGTTCTTGACACCTATGATAATAATCAAATACTATACATGTAACCTAGCCTTCCATATATCTTTCTACTTTCACCAAACTTAGCACCGTTTTTTTAAGTTCTCCAAATTTCAGTCTTCAAAAAAAAAAAAAAAAAAAAAAAATCCTATTTTTAGGGTAAGAAGATGGCATTTAACATCTTTTTTATTACCCAACTATTTTAACTAGCATTTTCAACTTCCTGTTTTGATGCGACCTCAGAAATCTTTAATCATAGGGCCCAAAAAATAATTTGCACAATGTCCAAATGCAGCTTGAAAGAGAAAAATAAAAAGTGGAAAGGAAAATTAGACAATCAAAATATCAAAAATATATTCGATTTGACAATTGTATCACTGAAAAAGAAAACCTACTTATTTTAACATCCCCATGAATATCCCATTCAATGCTACAAAAGAACACCTAGTCAAGACCCTCTAAAATATTAATATAAGAAATTATATAAAAATCAATTTAATATTCTACTTGATTGAATAACTGAATACTTCAGACTAGTCAAATTCACACATAAAACTGACAGTCACAATAGGAAGGAAATTTCCTTTTCAGAACTACACAAGCCAGAATTTCATTCCAAGACTTTTTAACAAAAAGAAAAATATAAGTCTAATAACTCATGAAACATTACTAATACTTATACTTTAAATTCATATCATAACACTATTCATTTATGTCCACTTGATAATTCCAGAGTTGATCACTGAATTTGTATTTTTATCAGATGCTCTGTGTAAGTTAGTGCATGAGCTCCTTCCTCTTCTGGCTTAATGTGGTGTGAAGCAAGCTTCTTTCATCATTCACACCATAAAAGTAGTAACATTCATAGAGAAGAAGAATAATGATAAGCAGCAAATTTTGTATTGCTTAATTAAGTACACTCTCTAATTAAATGATGACTGCTTGTATGTTCTCCTAAAAATTAGAACAACACACACATGTATGGAATGAGAAAAAGGTTGCCTGACCACAACAATAAAATATATTTGAAGAAAAAGAAGATGCCACTTTTTCCTTTCTTTAGTTTTTAGATTCAATCCTTATTTTTTACACCAGATATTCATTCTAATACTATTAACACATGTGCCACAAATATTTTTTAATATAGAGAAAAAAATGCTTTAGTAGTCTATGATAATCTAGTTTATGTTTCTGCTTTTCATAAGCATGGCCAAGGAGATTATTACCCAAAATTCTTTAGCTGATGGAAATGACATTGACTTTTTTTTTTCTTTTCTTTTTTTTTTTTTTTTAGAGAGATGGGGTCTTACTCTGTCACCCAGGCAAGAGTGCAGTGGCACCTTCTTAGCTCACTGCAGCATAGAACTCCTGGGTTCAAGAAATACTCTCACTTCCATCTCCTGAGTAGCCTTCAGGCACATACTACCTATTCCGGCTAATTTTTTTGTAGAGATGGGGGTCTCACCATGTTGCCCAGGCTGGTCTCAAACTCCCGGCCTCAAAGCAACCCTCTTGGCTCAGTTTCCCAAAGTGTGGGGATTACAAGCGTGAACCACTGCACCCAGCATGACTTTTTAATTTTTATAAATTAATTGTGCTATTTTCACAAACTTCAAATAAATTTATAATAAAGTATACATACCCGCCAGTCTTGTTATTATATCAAAACTTCTCATTTATTGATAAATCCAAAAATCAATCCGATTTCAAAGTTAATTTTAAAATCCCAAATTCGGGACTAGTATTTTCTCACTTCACTCTGACATTACCAGGGCAGTATTTCCTCTGTCAATTCTGAAATATGAAATGAGAAATCTGCTTTTATTAATCTAGTTAGAGGAATGAACTTCAGACTTCTAAAATGCAGCAAAGAAATTGAGTCAGGCAGGAAAAAAATAATGAGAAAGTTAGGATGCCTTAGTGAGCAGGCAGAGTCATTTTATGTAGAGGTTTCCCTCAAGCAACTAAATCGAGCCCAAACAAGCCTATTTCTCTGAAACTTGCTTTACCCGCCGTTCCGTCGCAAAATACATTGTAATAATATCATAAAACAGCTTGAGACGAAGAAAGATTCTGATTGACTGTTCAACATTCCAAAAGGGTAAATTAATATCTGTGAATCTCACAGCTGAAGCATTTTAATGCAAACTTGCAGTTTGTGGGAATTGAATCTGTCCGACAAAATCATTTATTTATATATAGAAAATGGGGGGAAATAGACATTTCATAATAGCAATGAGTTCAGGGGATGCTGTTATCATGAGCTAATCACATCCCATGGGCATGATCGCACTCAGCTGTGTCCCCTGTCTCGTATTGCTCCAGAGGAATGATTATCTCATGATAATAACCCTTATCGTGGCTTAGTGGGTAATAAAAAATATATACTTCCTTCCCAAGTTCTTGGGCATTTATTCATCAGCTAACTTTTTCCCTCTTGAGTTCTGGTCATATGTTACTTTCTGCTTAGAAAACAAAAAGAAATCTTGTATTCAGATAACATTTTCTGTTAGCAAAGTGGACAAAAATAAACAAACAAACAATAATAGTGTGACTGTATTGATCTGACTGTTAAAGAGTGGCATTGCAGACAAGCCCTGATCATTTGAGACCTGTGCACAGAAGATCCATGCTTGCACTGACATTTGGTAGGATGTCTAGACTGGCTAATCCACTTGGAACAACAAATGCATTCGGTAGCATAGAAACAATGAAGGGAAATAGACGCTTATATAGTACCATACATATCTTTGTACTATGATGCATAACTATCCAACATGTACACTTTACTGGAGGTTATAGACTATGCAACTTCAAATGTGGTTGTCCCATTTAGACAAAACATCCTACCAATGACTGTCATACTGCCAAACTGCAAGGCACAGGTATGGCAACAGAAATTCAAGGTAATGTCAGTCACTGCCGCAAGAATCCCAGTCTTTTCTGTGAGTATTTGCAGCTTAAGATGCAAAGGCAACACGAATTCTGAGACAAAGTCATGAAGAAACAGAAAATCACAAAGGAATCAGAGCAAAAGACAATTGAGAAGAAGGGAAGTGGAACACATTTCTCCTTGTTTACTTGTTGCCTGTATCATAACTCTAAGATTCTCTAATATGCTCTGTTTATTAATAAGTACTTACCTATGCTTTTTGAAATTTCAAGAAATGTTATGCTTTCTATGAAGAGCATACTATTAAAAGGTATACCTCTTCTTATACACTAAGACAAATGTAGAGCAATATGCAACATTTAGTATTTAAAAAATTAAGCGTAGCTCCAATGAAACAATAAGTGCTCTGTTAAACATAGCATAAGCAATCCAGATGATTCAACTGAAAAATTAATTGTAGTATATATATTTAGTTACATAACATTGAGTATATGCGAACAACATCAATAAATCTTGATGCATAGAATTTTCATTCTGCAGAAGATATAAAACTTTACAGACCGTATTATACACATTAACATAGCTCCATTCTAAGGTATATCAAAATAACATTTTAGGAAAGTTTGGAAGTGGATGAGGGATAATACAAAAGGGAATAGAATTTATTTAAAGTAAAAATAAAGGGATCCTGGAGAGATGATAGTGTGACAGCATAGCCTTTCTTTTTTTCTTTCTTTCTTTCTTTCTTTCTTTTTTTTTTTTTGAGATGGAGTTGAGAAGGAGTTTCACTCTGTCGTCTGGTTGGAGTGCAGTGGCAGGATCTTGGTTCACTGCAACCTCCGCCTCCCTGGTTCAAGCAATTCTCTACCTCAGCCTCCTGAGTAGCTGGGATTACAGGCATGCGCCACCACGCCTGGCTAAGTTTTGTATTTTTCTTAGAGACAAGGTTTCACTATCTTCGCCAGGCTAATGCTGAACTCCTGACCTCGTGATCTACCTGCCTTGGCCTCCCAAAGTGTTGGGATTACAGGCGTGAGCCACCGTTCCTGACCAGCATAGCCTTTCAATCTTTTCAATTCACGTAAAACTGACAAAGCAAGTAGATAGCAAAAGCTAAAACACAAGACATTATTTAAAACAAAATTAGAAAGGAGGGTGTGGGGAAAAAAAACTCAATCATACTGTATGGCATTTCTTTTTTTAAAAAAATATTTTTTATTACACTTAAAACTCTGGGGTGCATGTGCAGGTTTGTTACATAGGTACACACGTGCCATGGTGGTTTGCTGCACCCATCAACCAGTCATCTATATCAAGTATTTCTCCTAATGCTATCCCTCTCCTAGACCTTCACCCCCCAACAGGCCCTGGTGTGTGATGTTTCCCTCTCTGTGTTCATGTATTCTCATTGTTCAACTCCCATTTATGAGTGAGAACATGTGGTGTTTGGTTTTCTGTTCTTGTGTTAGTCTGCTGAGAATGATGGTTTCCAGCTTCATCTATGTCCCTGCAAAGGACATTAACTCATCCTTTAATATGGCTGCATAGTATTCCATCTTGTGTATGTGCCACATTCTTTTTATCTAGTCTATCACTGATGGGCATTTGGGTTGGTTCCAAGTCTTTGCTATTGTGAACAGTTCTGCAATAAACATATGTGTACATGTGTCTTTATAGCAGAATAATTTATAATCCTTTGGCTATATAGCCAGTAATGGGATTGCTGGGTCAAATGCTATTTCTGGTTCTAGATCTTTGAGGAATCACCACACTGTCTTCCACAATTGTTGAACTAATTTACACTACCATCAACAATGTAAAAGAGTTCCTGTTTCTCCACATCATCTCTAGCATCTGTTGTTTTCTGACTTTTTAATGATCGTCATTCTAACTGGTATAAGATGGTATCTCATTGTGGTTTTGATTTGCATTTCTCTAATGGCCAGTGATAATGAGCTTTTTTTCATATGATTTTTGGCCACATAAATGTCATCTTTTGAGAAGTGTCTGTTCATATCCTTCACTCACTTTCTGATTAGATTGTTTTTTTTTTTCCTTGTCAATTTGATTAAGTTCCTCATAGATTCTGGATATTAGCCCTTTGTCAGATGGATAGATTGCAAAAATTTTCTCCCATTCTGTAGGTTGCCTGTTGACTCTGATGATAGTTTCTTTTGCTGTGCATAAGCTCTTTAGTTTATTATATCCCATTTGTCAATTTTGGCTTTTGTTGCCATTGCTTTGCTGTTTTAGTTATGAAGCCTTTGCCCATGCCTATGTTCTGCATGGTATTGCCTAGGTTTTCTTCTAGGGTTTTTATGGTTTTAGGTCTTATATTTAAGTCTTTAACCCATCTGAGTTAATTTTTTATAATGTGTAAGGAAGGGGTCCAGTTTCAGTTTTCTGCATATGGCTAACCGGTTTTCCCAACACCATTTATGAAATAGGGAATCCTTTCCCCATTGCTTGTTTGTTTAAGGTTTGTCAAAGATCAGATGGTTGTCAATGTGTGGTGTTATTTCTGAGGCCTCTGTTCTGTTCCATTGGTCTATACGCTTTGGTACCAGTATCATGCTGTTTTGGCTACTGTAGCCTTGTAGTATAGTTTGAAGTCAGGTAGCATGATGCTATGTTCTTTTTACTTAGGATTGTCTTGGCTATATGGGCTCTTTTTTGGTTCTATATGAAATTTAAAGTACTTTTTTTTTTTTTTCTAATTCTGTGAAGAAAGTCAATGGTTGCTTGATGGAGATAACATTGAATCTATAAATTACCTGGGGCAATATGGCCATTTTTCACAACATTGATTCTTCCTATCCGTGAGTATGGAATGTTTTTCTATTTGTTTGTGTCCTCTCTTATTTCCTTGAGCAGTTGTTTGTAATTGTCCTTGAAGACGTCCTTCACATCTCTTGCAAGTTGTATTCCTAGGTATTTTATTCTCTTTGTAGCAATTGTGAATGGGAGTTCACTCATGATTTGGCTCTCTGTTTATCTATTATTGGTGTATAGGAATGCTTGTGATTTTTGCACAATGATTTTGTATCCTGAGACTTTGCTGAAGTTGCTTATCAGCTTACGGATATTTTGGGCTGAGACGATGGGTTTTACTAAATACACAATCATGTCATCTGCAAACAGAGACAATTTGACTTCCTCTCTTCCTATTTGAATACCCTTTATTTCTTTCTCTTTCCTGATTGCCCTGGACAGACCTTCCAACACTATGTTGAATAGGAATGGAGAGAGAAGGCATCCTTGTCTTGTGCTGGTTTTCAAAGGGAATGCTTCCAGGTTTTGCCCACTCAGTATGATATTTTTGTAGGGAAGACAGAGGTAATGGAGGCAAAGACTCATGACCTCAAGAATAAGATAACCACCAATTTGAAAACACGAACTAGAACTAAGTAGAGATTTGCCCTCTCCTACAAAAGGTGAGTGCAAAAATGTCCATTATAAGAAGGACAAAAAGGATTGGAGCAGTCTAGCCCCTGTGAACTCAAGATAAAAGGAGAGAAGGTCAAGACCAAAATTGAGAGGAACACAGTAAGGAAATAAAAACAGAAAATGGGGTTTTATATTGTTGAAAAGGTTTTCCTAATCTCTCCCTCATTTTAGGAACATGAAAAGTATAATTTCATATAAAAATTGGCAACAGAAATGATCAAGGTTACATTCCATGTAAATTTATAATAAGAAAAAAAGAAGAGGAAGAAGCAAACCAAAATTCTTATAGAAAATAAAAGTATACAAATGAGATTTGCTGACAAACAGAACAAATTCTATTTTAAAGAAAACTAAAAGAGTTTAAGATTTTGATAGCAAATATAAAATAATAATATAAATCAGAATTAGAAAAATTTAGAAAAGAGAATACAAAACAGTGTTACTAATAACAAAT